TATTTGGATGAAAAAAGAGATGACACTTTCTGTTACCTCTCAAAAAAGGCAACACTATATTCTTCAAACAGACACACACAGAGTCAAATTCAGATTTCTTACACACATGCACAAATGCTAATAGCTACTGTTACAAGATATGATAGGAGCTGCATATCTAAGAGTGCACTCAGAAACACTGACTGCACATTCTATACTTCAAATGGCTTAATTTGGAAATACAGTTTATTGCTGAGTAATCTATATTGTGTTATATTTTTAAAAAACCGTTTTCTAATATTATTTCTAAAGGGCAGTCATGCATACATAATAACTATATTTCAAAAGGTGTTTTAGTAGGTTAGCAAAGTGCATATGCATGTATCTCCACTGACATGATAGACCGTAATGGCTGCGGTCTGTCATGTCAAGCATCTGCATATTAAACAGTCCCTAAGTACACATTGACACAGCAGACCCTAATAGCTCTGAAGCTGTAACAATCTATTGAGTCAATAATATGCATGTTAAAGAGCATCTTGTATACTTCCATCAATATATTTTATCTTCTGGTTAATTTGTTTTTTTATCATATATATATTATATATCCTCCATCATATATATTATATATCCTTAATACAATGTCATAGCTGTGTAACATATGTCATAAACAGTCATACACATATTCCCCATAGCAGAATCCATCCAGAACTAGGAAGTTCTTAAAAGGGTTATTGTAATATTTTGTACTACCAGCATATACTCTTTCAAGTTTGTAGCTGTTCAAGACAGGCTAGAATATTCTCTTCCCTTCACTGCTCCTGATCCTCAGACTACTGGAGTTGTTGGAAACACTCCCATTGACTTTACAGGACTCCAGATGAGGCCCATTGTGAAGCTTTTTTTTTCTATTATGTATTTCCTTATAATTAAATGGAAAAGGTCACAAGGGAAGAATGAAATAAAAAGCAAATCATTTCATTGCTAGTATTATCAACAAAAAACTAAAAAACAAGGAGAGAGGGGTTTTTTTTAAAGCCTCCATTTGGTTAAATTTAAATTAAGTTGGATGCTACATCCTTTATGCATGCTTACATGCTTAATTCATGTTAACACCTTTCACATAACAAAACAAGGACACTATTATTAAACATTAAAAGTGGCAACTTGACCTCTTTAATCTAAATAAATGGAAAAAAATATCACTTGGCACTTCCATACTTATACCGTGTCATGGTACCGTGGTCCACACTCATCACAGACCTTGTGTCTTGGTTTTATATTTCAGAAAATGGTTTGTTATTATTATCAATTATAATAATTAATAATTTATTAAATTGTACTTTTTAAATATGAGTCTGGATTATTATTCCCATTTTGCAGATAGATAATCAGGCACAGAGCGGCTGCATGGCCCCTATAAGATTTACAGATGTTTAAAGCATGATTCTCCTCTCACTTGCACTAGATCTACATTAACACAACTCCAGAGATTTCACTGGAGTTATTCCTGATTTATATCAGTATAAGCAAGAACAGAATCAAGGTTAATATTTCAACTATATTCTTCGGAATTTCCATGTTGCTCACTGTTTCTACCCCATTCCTGGTTTCCAAATACAATCAAACCATGAAGTATATCCTGCTGCATGTCCCTCTCGAGGTCCCTCTCGAGGTCCCTTCCAGTCCTATTATTCTATGATTCTATGATTCTATGTCTACATAATCTCACCCTCACCTGGATCAAGCTGGGACTTCTCCCTGTCATTAAACATATCAGATGAGAATTGAATTCTACTAATACCCCAACAACTTTGCTTATATAATCCCACAGGACTCAATCCTATAATTGGATCTTCCTGGGTTGACCCTTATTGAAGTCGGTGGGGTTTTGTCCACTCACCCAAGTTCTGCACACACGGAAATAACTGCAGGACGTGAGCTTCAGAGTGTGTATTAACTTTATTCTATATACCCACTAAGGCATAATTATTTACTACTAGACTTTCAAAAAAATTAATAATACAACACACAAAGCACATGGCCTCCTAATTTTAGTTTACATGGTGAATAGCTAACAAAGGAAAACTTCTTGTCGATGACACAAGAGAGCTTTTTTTAATTTATAAAATGCACTAAATTATCAACACTTGAGATTAATGCACAAAATTTGAAGATGGGTTGCAAGGGTACTGAAGGAGCAAATAATTGCTCAGGATTACATCTAACCTACATCACTGAAAGGCAGGTTGTACAAATTAACTAAAATCCTGAGCTAAGAGATTACGCAAATCAGCACTGCACCCCAAAGAATTTTTAGAGAAATTTCCTCAAGAGAGACAATTTTTCCCCAGCTTCCTACTGCAGCAAGGCAATTCATTACCATTGGACACTGCAGAGTGTGCGCCTCTCTCTGCAGCTAGCAGTTATAGGCATGTATTGCCCAGGGAATCATAGCAGAAGCTCTGAATAAAGAAACTGTAACTGCCTAATTTCTTGCTTCTGGAATATAAGGGCAGGAGCTAAAGTCTTCTTGCATGTCCTTCTTGCATGTCAACACACCAAGGCCACAGACAATCTAGCTTTGATGTAGGCAAATGTGCCTCACGCATGGGACATGTGTCTATTTCATATGCAGAAAATCTATTAGTCATTTAGCTCTGCTATCAGCACATAACTAGCCACACAGCCCCTCTATTAACTTAGCCTGTTGGTCGTACTGTGCTGTGCTCTCACAGAACATCCCCAAATATTGGCCAGATCCAAAGCATATAGAAGTCAATCGGAAGATTCCCAATGACTTCAGTGAACTTTGGATCAGGCTGTATATCCTCAATAGCAAGTGTGTGAATATGTAATTTGGATATGGCTGTGACTTCACATTGTCCATGCCAATGGGATGTGACCCGTTGCACACTGGTGAACAATAGCTAACTTGACCATTGATTTTATTTTCATTACTGGTCACTGCACAAGGAGTTGTCTCCAATTTACCAGTGAGCTACAAGTGAAATAAGTAGCTGACAATCATAGATATTTGGCTTCTGTACATACTTAGTCAAAATAAGATTTGGCCTCCTAATTGTGAAAAAGCAGCTAATGTTCCACATGCTGCAAAATCCAGCCAGAACAGACTGAAGTTTAATCGTGGCAATGTTAATCTATAAAAAAGAGAACAAAAAGGTAAACTGCTTGGTATAATGTGTTGCATGTCCCGATCATCAAGGAGAGGAAAAAAGAACTCAGTGCATTAGTATTTGTCTTTTTCTTTCTGTGGGTACATCTACACAGCAGTGTTATTTTAGAATAACTAATGTTATTCCGAAATAACATGGCCTGCGTCTACACCACTAGCAGTTATTTTGACATAATGTTGAAATAATGGTGAGCTGAAGGACTCCTTACTCTAACTCCTGTAACCCTCATTTTATGAGGATTAAGGGATGTTGGAGGAAGAGTGCTGTTTCTCAGACTTACTGCTGAATAGCCCGCGCCAAAAGTTGCGTAGATTATTTTGGCTTTAGCCCTACTGTGTAGACATAGCCTATGGAAACTAAAGTTCAAACCAACAACACTCAGTATAACACCCTAGAATAAATCCTATCAGTAGGGCTTCTGATTTTTGGTTTTAACTGATAAACACAATAAAACTCCTGTGACACAGGAAAAAAGAAAAATCGGCGCTTATCCAATAAACACCAGGAAAGCACTCAAAATGACTGCTTATGTCTAAAACTTGTTCATGGAGAAGTAATGGCACTCTGGGGGGGTGATTCTAAAGTGCACCAATTCGGTTGTGTTCACCCTGCTGGTTACCTAGTACACTTCAACACTAGTACTATATTCAAACACACTAGAGAGCATGACAAGGAGATTACTCATTACAGGATTATGGATCAACAAACAGCTCCAGTCCAGAGCACTGTTCTGTGGTGGCTGTCACCTTGCTTTTAGGTATGGCTTTTATTTGGGAGAGGTTATTAATTTTATTTTTAGGGTTTATTTTTAGCAATTTTGAGATTTATGTACATGTCTAAAATCAGGGCTTTTCAGAGCTTCCTACCCCAGAACACTGGAGTGGACTGGAGCTGTCTGAAGGGGATAGGTTTCAATTTCATGATAGAGATGTTGCCAGTAAAATGTATGCTACAGTGTCAGAATGCATTGGAGGCTGCTTATCAGCAGTGAGTCAAGACTACAAGGCCTGTAGAAAACTACAGAAAAAGTAAACGTAATATATGCTGAAATGCCCCTTTAAAAAGGGTAAATTATCAGTGCATCTGTGCATTACCAGGCATCCATTTCCCTAACCAGTACACCCCGAAGTGCTGAAAACTTCCTCTTTAGTATTATTCTAACATATATTTAATAGGGTTGGTTAATAAATAAAGGAAGAGTTTAAACTAATAGTTTTCTTGTTTCCAGCAACTTGGTTGACTCTTCTTTATGTGTCCTGTGTATTAGACAAATATAGTTAATAGCAACCAGACCTGACTGACTGACATTTGTCTCTACAGGATTTATATTTGCCAAGTAGCCGGACAGCAATATCCATTTAGTATTCATGGAAAGTACTTGCAGAACAATAATGACAATAATTGCTTCTGATTCTTGTGTTTACAACACTGCCAAAGTATCATTAGGCCCTTATTTATGGATAATAATGCTTATTAATCATAAGTATTTGAATTTTGGAATGTATTAGATTAATATTCTGTTGTATTTCAGTTCAGTACTAATGCTGTGAAAGGCATTTATTGAGTGAAACTCATTGGGAATGCTTATTTTGGTAAAGTAAAATCATTCTGGGCTATTTTCAGGTAATAGATAAAGAAATTTGTGCACAATGAGCAATGAATACCACTACTAAAATCAGGACCTGTGTACTAAAATCAGGAAAAAACTGAAAAGAAATTACTCTGAAAGGGATAGTGATATTACATGTTAGTTTGCTTTTTAAAATCCTATTTAATAGAACACTTTTTATAATTTTGAATAAACATTTTATTTTTTTGTCTGTTTTTAAATTCAATCTTTACTAATACATACTGCAGTGAAGGAGAGTTTTTGCATGAATTCAAAGATTCATGGACACTTGAAAGGTCTCTAACATAGGAAGTATAGTATAAAAAAACTCATAATTTGGGGTGTAAATAATTCCTGCTTTTATAAATCAGCATCTAGTAGTACTACAATAAAATGATGGAATAAAACCATAAAAGAAACTGACAGCTGTAACAAGCAAAAATGTAGCCCTAAATCTAAATATCCGCTGCCATATATTCATATTCTCCTTTTGTCCTTCTGTAGTACTTACAGTTCTGAAAAAATACCAAAGCTACTGTAGTACTAAACTCTCTGATTTTTGGTGTGCGGCCAGCTCCATAAATTTGCATTTAAACAAATAAAATCCAGAACAGTGTCATATGTCTTTTTTTTTTTCCTGAAACAGTTCTTCAAGCATAATTTGAAGAGGCACTGTCAACTTAAAAATCACATTTTGGTCTGATTTCTTTTCCCATGATTTGTTGATGTAACACTTATGATTACTATTACTGGAAGAGATTAGAGAAACTATCTTCCTGTATTTTATTCAGCTTGTTTACTTTGTGCTTTTTATAGCAATTTGTGCATAGTCATCTTAACTTGCATAGTCAGTCCTTTTGCCCTATTTGTGTGGTTCTTTTATTCAGCACCCATGCAGACAAAAAAATTAAAAATAAGTGAAAAAGCACAAAAATGGGAAATGGGGGGAACACTTAACTTATATATTTAATATTTTATACAAGATGATGGTGTCCCTTTAAAAAGTACATTTTTCAACTATTAATATTTTAGCTGGCTTTACTAAATATATTTATAAAACATATACATACAGGTTTCCTGAGAAGTTCAAAGCACTAAACAGCAGTCCATGCTGTATATAGCTTGATTACTTTGGGAAGAATCAGATATTTTAAAAATATTGTATTAGAGATGAACCGCAAAGATCACACCCAAATCTGGAGTGGAAGTTTTACAAAATTCAGTTCCCAAAGAACTATCTCACTGTTCAGCGGTGGAAGAAAATATGTAGCCTGGCATTTATCCTTTTCTTGACCTGTTGTTATAGACAAAAGGAAAGTTAAGATCCGAATAGATCTGGGTTTCCCCGAACTTTGGGATGTTTGGCCGAGGGATTTGGATTATAGCCATTCCTAATTTCTACTCATTGGTATCTGACAAAAATTGTTTCAGACGTTGATCATGTTACTGAAAATCTTTGACCAATGACCAGTCACACTTTCTAATTTGTCTGATTCTACTGTACTAAACAAAATTCCATAATGTCAGCATTTGAATGTTACATGATTAATTACAATGGTACAGTACATGACATCATCTCTCCCTCACTTTTATTTATTTGCCCCAGAAAGTTTAGATTGATGGTTAGAATTCAGTTTCTTATGCTCAGAAAACTGTTCTTCTTAAAGGGAAGCTGAAAATATACATTTTAATATTTCCAAATCATAACACGAAATCTGTGGAAGAAGATAATACTAAGATCTTAAGTTGTGAAACCTAAAATGGCAGCATTGGAAGCATAACTGACCATATGCAACTACCAGACTGCTTGTATTTAATTGGATTAAAGTCTTTGTAGCATTGATATCACCTTTTTATGAAAATGTTTCAATGTTTTAGGGATTGTTTCTACTCTCCCTAACGTAAAAGGCAAAGCTACTAACTGTTATATGTGTAATTACAATATTGGCATTTATATCAATGAGAGCAATATAGAACCTTTATGCATGGGGGTAAGGTGAGTGTTTTGAGGAAGGGGTGTTATAACACTACTTTCTTGATTATTCAGTATTCCTTTTATTCTAAATATCCTTGACAGAAAGAACCCTAAATTCCAAACAACGATATTTAGCCCAAATTTTCAAATCAGGACAGCAAACTTAGGTTCCTTAATCCATAGTTAATTCCCCATCGCCTGTTTTCAGAATTGCTGAGCCCCCACAAATCCCACTGACATCAAGTCAATGGCAAATTTAAGTACACAGCACCTTTGAAAAGTAGGTGGGTTCCTGCTTTTCAAAAGCATGTATTTTGGTGGGTTCCTAAATATAGTTTTAGGAGCACCCAGGTTTTTGGAATTGAAACTTTTGGCCTTGATGTACAATATAAGGACCTAATCCTGCAAACTCTTACTCACATAGTCAATGGGGCTACTCACATGAGTCAGGGCTTGTGGAACAATATCTCAAAATAGTGCTAACCTGCATATTGCAAATCCACCTGCTTATATTAACAGTGGAACTGCTACAGGTTACATTTAGGATTTAAGAATACTGAAAACCTAAACCCAATGTAGAATAGTTTTATCTGAGTAATTTGTTCTCTAGCCATTTTATTGCAATTATGACGCATACAGGAACATTTCAACGTCAAGCTAGAAAAGACCTGTCCACATATTCAAATACTGTTAAGTTTGAAAATCATCTTTTTTTTTCCTGCTTTATTTTACTTACTATATTTCTCACTTGAACTATACTATCTCTGTCTTTCTTTAGTGTAGGCTTTATTGTCAAATTATAATTCTTCTTGCTTTCAAATGGCATGGTTATTGTGTATTTATCCCTCCAGATACATAATATGACCATTTCTCTTCCTTATTTTTGTATCTTTTATAGCTACAATAGTTTTCAGTTCATAGCCCCACTTCATTAATTGGCTTTGTATAAAGACTTATTTTACATACTTGAATAGAATTTTACTCGTTGAATTATCTCCATATATAAAATAGCATAGTTATTGAACTATCAGACAAAAATAGGAATACAAATAAAATCTTATGTTACCATCTGAAATGCTGCCGACCAAAAAGGAGATAGGTACACTCTTGTCTACATCTAAATACCCCTGTACAAGTCATTTACTTTTAATCCATGCTATATATTTTGTAATTTTTTTCTGATTTCTCTCATTAGAAAATTTTAAAAAATAATAAGGTGCAACCTTTGCATGGGAGTAGTTTTAGTAGTTTTCATTATGACAAGTTCGATAATTATCCTTTAAGCATGACATGAAAGTTCCAGTGTCTTAAAAAGTTTCTTCTGGAATAAACAATCATTCACATAGGTATTACAAAATTTAAAACAAAACACACAAAACACAAAAACGTGGAAACAACTGTGTTTTTATAGCAAAGAAATTCACGTTTAAACAACTATGGACAAAAGGGCAAAACTGTTTTAACAAAAGATTTTTTTCTGTCAGAACAGATTAAAATTCAAATTCTCAATAGCAAGATTTAAAAGCCATTTATATAGAAAAGACAACATCAGATGGGGTTATCATAATTAATAACAAAATAAAGAAGAGCTATTAAATGTTACATGTCAGGGCTTTACCCCATCTCAATTAGCATTCAGGAAGACATCTACTGTGGGCACAGATTACCCTATCAAAAGGTTCTTCCACTTTCCTCTGAACCATCTGGTTGGCCATTGTCAGAGACAAGATAGTGGACTATATGGACTTTTGGTATAATCCAGTATGGCAAATTTTTCTGTATCTAGCGGTAATTTCGGTATTTCCTAGTTCTTGTCAATGGCTTGTGTAATTTGTAAAGTATAAATATTCTCACAATCATCTTGATCCAACACCGCTTTCTGAACCTACAAATCAGCACAAATTAAGCTGTCTACATAACTCTTTTTAAAAGTTTACCCCTGTATATTCCTTACTTAGGGGCAAATTCTGCTTGCCTTTGTTGTTGAGGGCATAGGGAGTTTTGCTTGATTAAAGTGAGAAGGATCTGGTCTTTATTTTTCATTCTGGAATAATTGCCATTGACTTAACTAGAATCACAATATGGCACTCAGCACACTTACTCCAGCATGCTTCTCATAGATTTTTAACGAGAAAACGATATGGCCCTCCTGCCAACCATATTATAACCCCACTGCAGTCAACGGCATTTATGTCAGAGTGAGGACTGAACACCAGACCCTTATCACTTTATCAGGCAAAACTCCCATTGGCTTTAAAAAACATGGTAAACAGCATTTGGCCATTTGGAAAGGAACACAGGGTTTAGCTTTTAGAAGAATTAGTTATACATGCTCATTTGTGCTAGATCAAAACCAGAAAGTGTTGAAGGCAAAAGAAGTTGTTCATGAAGGACTGAGGGCCATATCTTCATCCCACTGAAATCCATGGTGAAACATCCAATGGACCACAATTTGGAGTTGGTCTACAGAATTTTATTCTAATACAATCCTGCCAATAGCTTTTATTTTGATAATATTAATATTGCCGTATTTTTTAATAAACCAAATGCCCAATGTTACAAAATTTGCTTTATTCACAGTACAGTATAAAAAATACTATTCTAATCTGCATTAATATTAAACCAAATATGATTGTTGTTGTTTTTTCTGACCTCATGTTTTCTATAAATATCCCTTTACGGTTTTGGTTTTTGTATGTATTTAAATATGCAAGAATTACGCAATATATCAATTAATGTAATTTTATTAATCAGCTACCTGAACATGTTTTTCTTGCAATGTAGTGGAAAGCAAAACAAATGTTCTTTTTTCAAATGTCCAAAATTAAATTATTATTCCACAAGTATTATATTACATATGCAAAATGACCTGATATGTTTAGATATCTGACTGTAGTTCTCTAGTAAAATGATTCATTGGCAAAATATTTAATTTAAAATTTAGAATTTAAAATGAATTACTTATGTTTTCTTGATGTGAGACAATTTTAAGTTCACAGTAATTTTAAATATTATGCATTTCAAATATTAATATTTTCCATGTATTATTCACTGTCTTCCAGGTTTCCTATGAAGTTAGTGACACTTCATATTTCAAAGGAAGAATTGTTTCTTTTTTCAGTACTAATGTTCTATTAATTCACTTTGTAATAACGCTCTGGTTCAAATAAACAGAATTGCATTAAATTACTTATGCCAAAAATCATGCGGAAGTTGTTGACATTATATAAAATTTCCTTTTCCATTACTATTTTATATGTTATTATCTAGGTACTGTCTTTTTCAGCTGCAATACATGCCCTTCTTTAGTTAGTTTTAGAAACACAAGTATATACATATGTATATATACAGGCATATGAATATGTATTTTAAATGTATTGTACAGAGAGAAACCTCCAGCAAATTACATATAAATATTCTCTATGAACTTGTGGGTCTGATTTACAGTTTCTGTAGTAGAACATCCAATTACTGCTGGGGGGGTTTCAGTAACTTAGTGTGATTTTCTGTTCCAGCATGTGTTTTAAAATACATAAAAGGTAAATTGTCTGGGAACTTTCCTGTTATAAAGGCCTAAAGATAACCAGCTTCCTCATCAAATCCAAAGAAATACAAAAATGCTGAATGTGAAAAGAGAACCTATTTATGACCCCTAACATTCATATTTTTCATAGAAGATCACATGACTACATAACTACCTTCAAAGATAAGGTGGAAAAATACCTGGTGATGCATAAAAGCTTTACTAAGTGAATCACCAAATAATTATATAAACTACTCTTCAACAGTGAGGTATATATAAGGCACTAGATGCAAAATAGTGAACAGTAGTAAGATTACTTATAAATAAATGTAAAGAGCTAAAAAATATACATGGCTAGTTGTCCAACCAACTCCTCCTCAATGTCATTAAAATCAAACCTTGTTCTAGGTAGGAGTGCAATTCCATTGTTATTCCTAACTAATCTTCAAGGTAGATCCATTAATATGTTTTTTATAAAAGTATATGCTCTGAACTTTCAGTTTTGATACATTGTTTAGTGTAAATCAGGTAAGGTCTCCGACATTTGTTTAACCTCTGCCATTTTTTCCATTTCGAATTTAACAAATCTGAACATTAAAAAAGTAACCAACTTGGTACAAATATTTTAAAAGAAGTAAGCAACCTCCCTTCTGGTTTGTGACCACAACAAAACGATGTGGATGACATTAATCAACATGAGAACCTCTAGGTCTGCAGTATGGAACCGTCTTCTATTTCTATCAACTCTTCAGACGCTAGGATTTTGACATACGAACTAGACCCCCCAACTCCAACTTCACAACAGAAGACACCATCGTATAGACATACAAAGACAAATGCTCCCTTTTCTGTCTAGAATATTTTCTTCCCCCCTAAAATATTAAAAGAGCCTGAACAAAGCAAGTGCACGTCAAGCTAGACCCAATTAAGGAAAGGCGATATATTTACAAGCACACCGCGAGACACACGCACACACACCACTTACTGAGAGCGCTGGAAGGGATGGATTTGCTCCCCCAGCGATACCTACCTTAGGAGTGCTCGCAGGAAGGTACCAGGTTAACGCGTAATACCCTTTGATATTTTGGATCCAGTTTCACGCGGAGTTGGGGGGGGGGGGCAGAAAGGAAGTAAAGAGAGTGCAGGAGAAAAATCAAACTTGGGTACCCAATTCTACGTCAGTCCGTGGCGGGGGGAGGGGGTGAAAAGACATCATTAGAGACACCCCCACACCCCCCACTTCTGCTGCACTGAGTGGGCAGGGGAGGCAGGGCGATGAGCGGTGCGGGGCTGCCCCC